CGGAACTCTTAGTAAATGTGAGGTGCAATGTGTAGATCTTTAATTGAACATTAAGAATCTTTAAACGGCATATCAGCAAAATAAACGGCTAGTGAGTTATGAGCAAAATATGAAAGTGTTGGCACTTTGCCAAAACCGAAAAAATATTAAGAATAACTTTCGAGTTTTGAGAATATTAAAGCACAAATTGAATACTAAATAATTGCCAAGTTTCAAAAGTTATTCATAATTTTATTCGGTTTTGGCAAAGTGCCAACACTTTCTTATTTTGCTCATAACTCACTAGCCGTTAATTCTGCTGATATGCCGTTTTAAGATTCTTAATGTTGAATTAAAGGGCTACACACTGGCATAAGAATCGCTAATTGCACCTCACACTTACAAAGAATTCCGCTTATTTCCGCTTCTCAAATAAATAAATATAACTCGGTTATTATTAGTGATACGGATATCCCGTTTTGAGAATATTAAAGCACAAATTGAATACTAAATAATTGCCAAGTTTCGAAAGTTATTCTTATTTTTTTTCGGTTTTGGCAAAGTGCCAGCACTTTCTTATTTTGCTCATAACTCACTAGCCGTTTATTCTGCTGATATGCCGTTTAAAGATTCTTAATGTTCAATTAAAGGGCTACACACTGGCATAAGAATTGCTAATTGCACCTCACATTTACTAAGAGTTCCGCTCATTTCCGCTTCTCAAATAAATAAATATAACTCGGTTACGATTAATGATAGGGATATCCCGTTTTGAGAATATTAAAGCACAAATTAAATACTAAATAATTGCCAAGTTTCGAAAGTTATTCATAATATTTTTCGGTTTTGGCAAAGTGCCAACACTTTCTTATTTTGCTCATAACTCACTAGCCGTTAATTCTGCTGATATGCCGTTTAAAGATTCTTAATGTTCAATTAAAGGGCTACACACTGGCATATGAATCGCTAATTGCACCTCACATTTACAAAGAATTCCGCTTATTTCCGCTTCTCAAATAAATAAATATAACTCGGTTACTATTAGTGATACGGATATCCCGTTTTGAGAATATTAAAGCACAAATTGAATACTAAATAATTGCCAAGTTTCGAAAGTTATTCTTAATTTTTTTCGGTTTTGGCAAAGTGCCAACACTTTCTTATTTTGCTCATAACTCAGTAGCCGTTTATTCTGCTGATATGCCGTTTAAAGATTCTTAATGTTCAATTAAAGGGCTACACACTGGCATAAGAATCGCTCATTTACTAAGAGTTCCGCTCATTTTCGCTTCTCAAATAAATAAATATAACTCGGTTACGGTTAATGATACGGATATCTCGTTTTGAGAATATTAAAGCACAAATTGAATACTAAATAATTGCCAAGTTTTGAAAGTTATTCTTAATATTTTTTCGGTTTTGGCAAAGTGCCAACACTTTCTTATTTTGCTCATAACTCACTAGCCGTTTATTCTGCTGATATGCCGTTTAAAGATTCTTAATGTTCAATTAAAGGGCTACACACTGGCATAAGAATCGCATTAGTGATACGGATATCCCATTTTAAGAATATTAAAGCACAAATTGAATACTAAATAATTGCCAAGTTTCGAAAGTTATTCTTATTTTTTTTCGGTTTTGGCAAAGTGCCAACACTTTCTTATTTTGCTCATAACTCACTAGCCGTTTATTCTGCTGATATGCCGTTTAAAGATTCTTAATGTTCAATTAAAGGGCTACACACTGGCATAAGAATCGCTAATTGCACCTCACATTTACAAAGAATTCCTTTATTTCCGCTTCTCAAATAAATAAATATAACTCGGTTACTATTAGTGATACGGATATCCCGTTTTGAGAATATTAAAGCACAAATTGAATATTAAATAATTGCCAAGTTTCGAAAGTTAATCTTAATTTTTTTCGGTTTTGGCAAAGTGCCAACACTTTCTTTTTTTGCTCATAACTCACTAGCCGTTTATTCTGCTGATATGCCGTTTAAAGATTCTTAATGTTCAATTAAAGGGCTACACACTGGCATAAGAATCACTAATTGCACCTCACATTTACTAAGAGTTCCGCTCATTTTCGCTTCTCAAATAAATAAATATAACTCGGTTACGGTTAATGATACGGATATCTCGTTTTGAGAATATTAAAGCACAAATTGAATACTAAATAATTGCCAAGTTTTGAAAGTTATTCTTAATATTTTTTCGGTTTTGGCAAAGTGCCAACACTTTCTTATTTTGCTCATAACTCACTAGCCGTTTATTCTGCTGATATGCCCTTTAAAGATTCTTAATGTTCCATTAAAGGGCTACACACTGGCATAAGAATCGCTAATTGCACCTCACATTTACTAAGAGTTCCGCTCATTTCCGCTTCTCAAATAAAAAAATATAACTCGGTTACGGTTAATGATATGGATATCCCGTTTTGAGAATATTAAAGCACAAATTAAATACTAAATAATTGCCAAGTTTCGAAAGTTATTCATAATTTTTTTCGGTTTTGGCAAAATGCCAACACTTTCTTATTTTGCTCATAACTCACTATCCGTTTGTTCTGCTGATATGCCGTTTAAAGATTCTTAATGTTCATCTAAAGGGCTACACACTGGCATAAGAATCGCTAATTGCACCTCACTTTTTATAAATAATTCCGCCTACTTCATTTTCCTCAGATAAATAAATATTATTCGCTTGCGGTTAATGATACGGATATCCCGTTTTTAGAATATTAAAGCACAAATTGTAAACTAATTAATTGCCAAGTTTCAAAAGGTAATCTAATTTATTTTCGGTTTTGGCAAAGTGCCAACACTTTCTTATTTTGCTCATAACTCACGAACGGTTCATTCTGCTGATGTCCGGATAGAAGTGCAATTAGGTGCAATTAAGGCTCTAAATAATGGCATATTTTTTTTTAATTGCACCTAAAGTCGTTCTGCCAACTTCTTGTTTTTTAAATAGGTATAGCTCGGTTACGGTTATACATACGGATATCCGGGTTTGAGAATATTGAAGAGTAAATCATATACTACATTATTGTTAAGTTTCAAAAAAGAATCTCTTTTATTTTCGGTTTTGGTAAAATGCCAACACTTTCTTATTTTGCTCATAACTCACGAACGGTTCATTCTGCTGATGTCCGGATAGAAGTGCAATTAGGTGCAATTAAGACTCTAAATAATGGCGTAACCTTTGTTAATTGCACCTCAAGTCGTTCTGCCAGCATCAAAATTACACACTTTCCTTATTTTGCTCATAACTCACGAACGGTTCATTCTGCTGATGTCCGGATAGAAGTGCAATTAGGTGCAATTAAGACTCTAAATAATGGCATAATTTTTGTCAATTGCACCTCAAGTCGTTCGGAGCTAAAATAAATAAATAAATTCTATTTATGTACTCTATACTACCTCTCCACATTGAATATAATATATATCGCGGGGTATGAACCCCGGGTCTGTGCTCAGGGTTCGTACTCTAAGCATGCCTGAGCACAAAATTTTATCTTAAATTTTACGACCTAATATTTTAGCAACAATATGGAGGCCCAATCTCCATATGCCGATTTATTTTCTCAAGTCAACAAACCTTGTTTCATAGAGTATAGTAGTGAAACTACACCCTACCTAATTAAAATAATAGAGTGAGGTATAGATATAAATATAAAAATTGAGAAAGAAATACAAGGCAAGAAATTATTTCTCCCAAATACAAATAGCTTTTTATTTGTAATCTATTAATATTTTTTACATTAAGGTATTAATGATATTTATAATCAGAACACATATAGTGGCATAATATATTATTCCTACGTTATATTAATATTTCCATTATTATGATCAAAAATTATTTATAAAGGTTTAGTTTCTCTCAATCTACTTCTGGTTAATAATCAAATATATACGAAAACAACCTAACCAAAAAGTGCTCAATATTTCTCAACGCGATGAACTTTTGTTCAAATGCTCATTATTGTCTAATATTATTGCACTTTCTTCTCCAATCGGTACAGTTTTTATTAGCCTTTATTTTAGTTTTAATATTTTAAATGAAATATTTTTTTTTACCTTTTCCTGTTGATAGCAAAGCAAGTTTATTATGAGATTTTTAGGTAGCTTTAAATAGATAATTTGAGTCATTTTGAAAATAAGGTTTCAATTGAAATTGAAATCAAGGCATAATGTATTTATCAATCTCAAAAATTCTTTTAGATCCAGGCCCGGCCCTGACCAGTTCATATATAATATTAAAAATTTACAAACTCATATAAAAAATATTTGAATTTAAATATTAGAATCTTAAATTAAGCATTATCAAATCTTACATGAGTATAATAAAATTTTATATGTGTGTAGATACATTTGTATTTTGTAAAAATATATTAGTACCTATATTTAAACGATGTACTGTATATTAATCAATTTAAATATCTTTTAATAACACCGAGTCACACTAAATATAATTCATAAGGTACATTCGGGATAATGCTCTTGGTAGAAAAGGTCTTTCGGTATTTATGTAATACTATTAATAAATTTAAAAATAACATTTATACGAAATATTTTAAATGATTTTCAAAGAATCTTCCCCTCCTAAGGCACTTTTACACACCTAAGACAATGCCCATTTATCCTAACCTCAAGAAGACATCTAACTTCAAGGAATTTCATTTTTTAAAACAAAAAAATTATTATTTTAAAATATGATTATTTGTTTTTTGAAGAACTTGTACTCTCCTCAATTCCGTTTTTATTGAATAATTTTTTCAATATTATATTAGATAGGAATATAGTAATATATTAAGGAATCAAATAAAAATTTCAAAAAAATAAAAATTACAAAAAAGTAAACTTCAATTAGCGAAAAATGAAATTTAAATATTAACATGAAAAGGGAATCTAAACAAAAAGAATATTGAATACAAAGCAATGACCGATATTGTATTTAATCAAAATACCAAGTTGGATGATACTGAGAGTGACTAACAGTATTATTTTTGAATTATAATTCATCCCTAATCGCACGTTCTGGAAAATGTCATTTCCAAAAGAACAGATCAACTTATTGAAAGATTTTGTCAAACTATGCACGCTTAAGCCAGAAGTGCTTCAAAGTCCTGAATTAAATTTTTTTCGAGACTGGATCGCTAGGTTTTATTTTATTTTATATAATATTTCAACAAATAATATTATATAGTTTAGGGTCTGGTATTAAACATGAACAATCTGAGCTTCCAGTATAATTTTAAATATTAATTAGTAATTTTTTTACAAATTAGAAAACGCATATATTTACAGATGCTGCTCACGATTATAAATCTGATAAAGAATCATCTAATCCATCAGATATTGAATCAGAAGATATTGAAAGTGATATAGGTAAAATTTTCTTATCATGTCCTCTATGCAATTTGTTTCCAGAATTCGACAATGAATTAACTGTCAAACCTGATGCCAATGATAATGCAGATCAAGATATGGGAAATAATGATATTGATGTTACAGAGGATATGGAAACAGAATCAGATAATAAAAGACAAGAAGCAAATAAAGCTATGGGAGAAGGTAATATTTATTATTATTGAATGATAAAGTTTTTTGATTTATTAAGAAACTTTAACATAAGTTAAAAATTTTAAATGCAGACAAAATTTATATTTTGCTAGTTATATAAAATTGTTAGTATTTTAATATTGAAACATGAAATTTTTTAAAATCATAAAATATATTTTTAAAAACTGAATAAAATAAACACTAAAATGCAGATATTCTAACATATTTTGGTGATAAATGATAAATTGAGCATATCAGTAATATCATAGAACAAATTGATAGAGATGGTATAGCACAATTGATATTTTTAGTACCCAAATTAATACACTATACAAATTAAATATATGTTAATTATATAATCCCCTCCCCACCCTCACAGTCAAAATCACTCATTAAACATATCCTTTTCTTTAGATTTAAAAAAAAACTATAATTGTTTTAGCCAGTTTTTATTTGATCTGGATCAAATAAATATTTGCATGATAACATGGTTGAGAAACATTTTTTATACAAACCATCAATTACTTTATTATATTGTCTGTCATTAAAATGATAATTTTTATTGGATGTCCAAAACAATAATTATTTTATTCTTATTTAATTTTTATTTTCTAAAAATAATGTTAAATCTCTCAAAAATAGAATTAAATTTTTAAAAGATTTAATTGAATTTAAATATAGAATTTTATTATAAAGTGTTGTAAATAAAGCAAGATTTCCTTAAACTTTAAAAATCAACTAACAATTATAAAAATATAGAACATTTATATATAAACAAACAAATAATTGATCAAAAAATTATAAAAAAAGAATCAATTAATATATTGGGTTATTTGCATTTCTATTACCTTGATGACTAACTATTTTAATGGCTTGTTTAAAATAGAAGGATTCATTATGATTGGCACTTATTTGGCTTAATTTTCTCCCAAATAATGTGATAAATTTAAGGAATTCCTCATTAAAAACACGAATAGTATTATTGACAAGTGGAATAAAAATTATGTTAGTGATGTCTCAATATTAGTTTATCTTCAAGATACCTAAATATGAGTATAAATGGTTTGCATTTTTATCTTAAAATTTTGAAACAAATTATAGATTTATATGTAGCCAAATCCTTTATCTGCAAAATAAATAAAATATATCTACTTATAATACTTTAGGAGCTATGATTATTTGAACTGTGCAATTTTACACCATACCGAGGGTAAAATGGTTAAAATAAAATTGAACATAACTTTATTGTATAATCTAATAAATACCATATGGGAATGTAAATTTTTTCTAAAATAGCACATTTAAGTGTGTCTATTTTACATTTAACATTTCAATTATTTTTTCCTTTGTTACTAAAAATTTATTATAAATAACATTATTTATTAATGTCCCTGTTTGCTTAAAAATATATTTTATATGTTGTAGATATTAATATTTAAAAATTATTTTTTTACAGCTTTAGATGGAACATTTAACATCTTCACATTTATAGTCTTTTAGCTTATATGTTAAAAAAATATCTGCATCAACATTGTTATCCCATCAATCACATTGCCCTGGGTTTCCCTACATTATATAAAAAACAGTAATTTAAAATTTAGGGAATTATAAGATAAAGTATGAGAAATAAAGATTTGACATATTTTATATTCATAAATGTAGATAGTTATTTATTCGGAATAACTGGTCAGTTATTTTTCAAAATTATAACTAGTTAGTAGTTGCAATTATCAACCCTACAAAATATTATGTGAAATATTTCCATTTTTTATTATTCTTATTTTTTAAATAATTTTATCATTTAATTCAATAAGGCAAAAAATTAAGAATAGAAAGGAATGAACATTAATATTATTTTTGGGCCACATGTTGGACCTATATTTTATTAATGTTTTGGCCTGTTACTAGGACTCTATTTTAAATAATTTGCTTATTAAGTACCAGACAGGTCCCATTCCCCCACCCCTGATCCTTATATTTTCCTAATTCAACAAAGTCTGGCTGTTGTTGTAATCAACATATTTGTTGATTTTTTTTAAATAACTACTTTACTATATTATTGAACTTTATAATAGAATAAAATATTTGACATACCAAGAAGATGCCAAAAAATTAATTAAAAAAATATATTTGGCAATTTATTATTACCAATATTTGTCTTCATGTTACCATTGAATTCATTAAGCCAAATATACGTAATTAGATTTTTTAAAAAAAGTTTCAAATGTTGGAAATGAATTATCAGAAAAGTGAGAAATATATAAATTATTATAATTAAACTCTCATGATCAGTAACAAAAGTTTATTGGGTCTTGTACAATTGGTGGTCCGTTTTGACCCAGAAAATCTATCCCCTCTCCTTATATGAATTTATGTTCACTCCTATAGAACTTTAAATATTTTTAAATTGAATATATTCCTAATTTTTCGGATGAACGACAGGAGATTTGGAAGGGGCCTTAAAATTGTATGCTGAAGCCATTCAGAAAAATCCGAATTCCGCGGCCCTTTTTGCCAAGAGAGCTCAGTAAGTGATTTCGCTTTCATCAATTATATATATATATTATTTTACTACAAATGAGCTGAGAAGTTAATATCATATATTATTTTTTTATTTTGTGCAAAAATCTAGAAATTAGGATATCACATATTAAAAAAATATAATAATATCTAGATAATGGGAAGAATAGAAATCTAGGAACCAAAATTACCTCAAATAATTCTTTAATAGATCATTTTCCTATTTTCTCCAGGATTTTCAATAAACTCAACCGTCCACGTTCCGCTATCAAAGACTGCGATAAGGCTCTGCAACTTAACCCCGATTCGTCTCTCGGTTTGCGCGTTCGCGGAAAAGCTAATTGGTTCTATGTTTTTGCTTTTAACATTTAAAATACCCTTGATTTTCCTAAAAAACTGCAATTTTTTTGATATAAATTTAATATTAAGTTTTAAACAAAATTGAACACTAAATCTAAAAACAAATGAAAAATATGAAATAAAAATTAATTTATTATCAACTCCTTGTTATTGACTGAAATACTTACTGGACAGAATTATACACATTTCGGGTTTTTTAAATATTTTATTTTCGAACCAAATTTTTAAATATATATCACGATTTTACAAAAAAATAATAATTTTTAACATATATATTTTTCTCACGTCAATTATTATATATATATATAGATATAAATATATATTATAATAATACAACATAAGTAATACTTTATTTTTATAATTGTAATAAAGAATTTATATAGGAACTATTGGGGGATAGGTTATTTATATAAAACCGATCTGGCCACTAAATTTAGATGATGTACCAAATCACGTACCTCGTCTAATTTATATATCTATTTTTATTTCTCTTAAGTATGCTCGGGCACTGGACTCAAGCTAAGCTCGATTTGGCTCAATCCCTCAAAATTGACTTTGATCCCGATACCAATGATTTGTTGAAAAAAGTCATGCCAAACGTAATGCATTAATTATCTCATGTATTTATATAATGGAGCTATTTTTAAGAAAATGGGTTTTCCTATGTTTGTTTTTGATAGCTCAGACTAGTGTTGTTAAATTGCTTGGTCGTAAAATTTACGACCCTTTTATGTGCTCAGGCCGACCCGGGGTCCAGGGTTCAGACCCGGGGTCGTGTCGTGTAACGATTTAATAAACAAGTTGATAATTAAATATTTTTTATTGTAATAATAATCACTGATAGAGGGCGGGTCTAAGGTCTTGGGGGTCAGGAATAATTTATCAAAACAAAATATCGATATATGGGTAAATTATAATCTAAATATCTTTAGATTGAAAGTATTCATTTTTTATCTTGATGGTATGATTGGTTTTGGAGGGGGGTGGGAGGAGGAAATGTGAAAAATAATATTTTTTGATATGGAAATAAAAATATTTTAATCGTGGCCACTTACTTAGGGCTTGGAAATAATTAAAATGAATTATTATGTAGGTTTGCTTATAGATTATTTCTATACTATCCTGATCTTAGTTCAGAATTAGATACAAACTTTCTGACCGGATTTATTTAATTTCATCAAATAGAGTATGAATATTTAATAATATATTTAATTAAAATATAATTTTTATTTTCGGGTTTTTAATAATAAAATTAAGTATCTGTAGCTAATTTTTTTAATGAAATCCCCTATTTTCTTATGTGATAAAAAAAGTAAATTATATATTTCTACATGATTTTAAAATCTAAAATAAAGATGTGATTGATATTAACGAGTGGCTTAGCATCTCTAGTTTCTATAAATATAATAAAATATTTTTATTTTACATAAAAAATTCAACATAAAATTGATTAATTTGATTAATTTAGATCTATTTAAAAATATTTCCGTCAACATTCTCGATGGAAACAGTTATAATTATAAATTTGATGAAAATTAATTTCCATTTTTTTAAATTTTGAAAGAAAAGGAAGTGTTTCAAAAAAATTTCAAAAACACATTTGTTTTCAATTATAATTTTATTTGTATTCGTAAATATCAACATCATCGTCATCACTTTTCTTATTATGTATAATATAATTATAATAACCATATTAAAACTGAAACAGAAAATAAAATATAAAAATAAAATCAGATTATTACTAATTATCTATTAAATTAGTTTTTCAAACTTCAAAGATATGTATGATATAGATCGAATTTCCTTTTCGATATATCATATCGTATGTGAGAGGCTGTGAAATATATTAATCAAAAATATATGGATCTTGTTTTGTTATTTGGTTTGAAGAACGCTTTGAAAAATAATTATTTAAGTTAAATTACAGGAAGTTTTAAAAAATAACAATTAATAGTAAATTTTATTTTATTTTTGCAATAAAAATTTTTTAAATCTGAAGGGGTTTTATTTTTGATAAAATCGTCAACATATTTTTTTAATATTAATAATTAATTAATAAACATTCATTGTTATTTTTTTGCGCATTCTGTTTATAAAAGTGTGCGATAATCTCTTAAGAATCTGTTTTTAGTGAATTTGGTGATATTGACTTGAAAGATCGCCGTAAACGTAAACTGATTTCTGATAAATAAGTAAATTTTGATATTTCTAATAAGAAATCTTCGATTTATTAATGTTAAATATTTAAAATATTTATTCAAATTTCATAATATATTTGTTTATTATTTATTATATATAAAGATTAATGTTACTTACTATAAAAATATTTTATATACTTTTAGAATTGAATATAAACTATAACTGATCATTATAATATATTTAAATAAATGACATAAAAATTAGATATGATATCGGATCGGATAGGCCTCCAAAAAGTGATATCAGTACACACCTACTTAAAACCCAAATTTATTAGTTATACCTTTAAAATCCGTGGTGATCCTGGATAGTTGACATTTAAAAATTATGACATATATAATATTGGGAATATAACTTTAATATAATAAAGAAAAACTTTTTATTGGCCATTTCATCACAAATTATAAATTTACATTTCTTTTTATTATCTATACATGCATGAATGACGTTGAATTATTGTATTGGTCCACATTTAATTACAATATCAATATGTGTTAAAATAAAATTTTACTTTTTTATTTTTTTTCCGTTATGCATGGGTTACTCTTTTTGAATATTTACTGATATTTTTATTTTACCATAAAAATTTTTGATCAAAGAAAGTCCCCAAAAATGAGAATAAAAAAAAAGCTTTATTAATTTAGAATGAATAAGATAAGAATAAGATTTAATTTAAGATTAGAAAATGAAATTATTTTTTTTTACTTTTCATTTATCCGAGCCCCAGGTGTAATTCATAGGTGGGTCTGAACCCCGGGTCTGTGCTCAGAGCTGATTTGGTCGATTATTTAGACCCAAACCCCGGGTCTGGGTTTTACACAACCAACCAATTAACAACACTAGCTCAGACCAAGGATTTTGATTAACCTAAAAACGGTTAATATCTGATACTGTGGAAGTAAAGCATAAGGTTATAAGTAAAAAATATATTGTTAGAAATGAAAGTCTATAGAGGGCAACTTACTTATATATCAGGTTAGGGTTTCGATTAAAGCCCTACAATTCGGGTTTTAATCTAGAAATTTTTTGGGCTGGGCTTAACCATCCCCATCAAAATTATTCTGATTTTTGGATCGGACCTTGCAGATACACCAGAAGCAAAATAACGAGAGAAAGGTTTATAATTTTTTCGAACAAAACTAGCCATCTTTTTTTGAAAGTTTATTATTTTTTGCAATAAATTATGATAAAAGGCGCATAAAATAGAAGAATATGAAAGGAAAAAGGATAGGAAGAAAACGGACAAGTTGGAAAAGCAAATGAAAGACAAACAGCGCAAGGTCAGGGAGGCCCACGATAAAGCTAAAAAAGTTTAAAAAAATTGTTTATTTGATTCGTCACTAGAGAAACATATAGAATCAAAAATTTTGAAAAAATATATTTTTTGTTTTTGATCATCAGGATGTCAAATTGATAGGTACATCAATTTGTTAGTTTAAAATTTTAAAATGGTTTAATTTCATTTCGAATATTTTCTAAACGAATTTATATGGTTTGGTCTGGTTTACAAATTTATAGCATTCTTTTTTTGATTTTTTAAATATTTTGTTTGCATTTTGATAAAAAATATTTTAAAAACTTTTATAAATAAAAATCAAACAAAAGTAGAAAACAAATTAAATTCTTTTATTAATCATGTGTATGAAATGACTAAGTAAGTAACATAACATGAACTAAATTTTAAATTTTTTGTATTTTTTTGAAAAAATTATTTAAACTATGGCGGTCATTTTGAAATAAACCGTTTTGAACTTAAACAGGTTCTAAAGTATTTTTAACACTCCATTTTTCTCTTATATTTTCTTTTTACGATTTTTTCGACTCTGTTTTTGAGTAAATAAAAGAAAATATTGAAATTTACAGAGTTGTTAAAAATACTTTTTACATGGATCTAGATACAGATACAACGTCTAAAATAATATCTAGATACATATTATTTAATCAAAAATCTATCTAGATACAGATACCACATTTTTATATCTAGATGCTTGTATCTAGATCCTTTAACAACTCTGGAAATTTATGATAAAAAAAAGAATTACGAAAATAATTTTTACGAATATATGAATAATCATAAAATCTAGCCCCCCCCCCCAGTAATTAGGTGGATTTTATATGAAATAAACAAGTGTTTCGGACGACTACTCTTTTTACATAAAAAAAAACTTGGCTTGATATTTATTTGTGTTGTAAATGTTGATAAACAAATATAAAGAACGTTATCCTTAATATCTCTAAAAATCGAAAATCATAAATAATCATTTAATTAAATCAATTTTTTTCTTTCAATAATATATATGAAGAGTCACAAATTATAAGTATATAACCCATAAAACTCTATTTAAAAAATTAAAACATTACCAATATTTTCTTATTTCGATAAAAAAAAATTAAAAAATCGAGAAGGGAATTTTTTGGGTGTCTAAACTCGCAAGACCTTTATATTTGACTGTTTAATTTTAAAAAATTGATAGCTATTTTTTTAATTTTAATTATTTTAAAATAATTATGATATTGGCGTTATATCTAAAGATAATTATAATTTATTTTTTAGTATACTATATATATACCTTTGGGCTAGAATTAAATAATTTATTTGCATTATATTTACAAAGCTTATAAAACAAATAAAGACAGTTTAGTTAAGTATTAGAAAGCTAAATGTAATTTAATGTTTAATAAAATCGATAAAATATGACTAGGAGACGTTAATTTGATTGAATAGGACTTGAGATTTTATTAAATCTACCGAATCAGGGCTATAGATACCACGCCGATTGGAATTTTGTTGGATCGAGTAGATTAGGTCCATATATCAAAAAATTACATTACATATATTTTTAAAATAGCACCTCACCCACCATCTATATTTTATATATATTTAATTTAAAAATTAAATTAGAAGTAATTAATAATTATTCTTAGAAGTTTCAGTAGTACCTGAATAAATTCCCTTCTCAGAATTTTTTTTTAAAAATATTACCTTAAATAGAATTTTATTTAATAGATAAAAGTTGATATATAATTTGTGACTAGCATAAATATTCTTAAAAAAATGAGATTTAATGAAATCACGATTCTCGACTATAGGCATATATCTTTTGATTTGGTTAAGCTAGCTCTTTAAAATTTGAATTTTAACAAAATTCTTGGGTAAGAATTATGTCAAGTTTTTTCTTACTTTAAAGAAGGCGTCCTATTATTTCCTTTTTTTTGTGAACCCAATTACCTTTTATTTAATCAATTTCTTTTTTTGTGACATAAATGGCATTCTAACATATTTTTCTAATTAAAAAATAACGTATTTACTTTGTCAAGGATAATCCTACCCACCCGGGAAGCTCGATTCCCGGTTTTCCTGGTGCCCTGGGGGGTGCGACAAGTAATCCTGGGGCTGCAGGTGCTGATATGGGTGACTTCTTCAAGACCCTCATGGCTGACCCTGAAATTTTGGAGGCTTTTCAAGTTAATAGCTTTTTTTTGGAGTTGCACTTTTTTTACCTTTTTTAAATGATTAAAATTGAGTATATAAGTTCTTTTGAATTGTTTATAAGTCAAATCATATTGAGTGTATCCCGATTTTAAGAAAGAATTATAAAGTACAGAAAAATGTGCTATTCTTTTATTCTTGTGGAACAAATATCATTTTAAATCTGCATTTATAATTGTTTTTTACGATTAACTTTTAAAAAAATGGCAGAAAAAGGTATTACTACATATAATAATGAGAAATATTGTTTTTTGAGAAAAAAATATCTTGTATACATGATTAGTGAAATAGGAATATAGCCAGCGGAGAATAATTGAAGGATGAAAAGCTAGCATAGCTAGAATTTATCAATGATTACTTCAAGATTATCCAGGGTGTTCAATTAGCAAGTGTACTATTTGATTTTTTTTAAACGCTTGATTCAAATGGGGAGATAGAAAACTAAATTAAAATTTCTCTCATTTTAAAAATTTATGTAAAATAAAAAAGATTACATTAGCAAGGGATCCGTCGCTTAAGGGTTTGAATGACAATTTTGTCTGATTAATGAATTAAGAGAAGAAATACCGATAACTTTTTTCTTGAAATGTTAACGTCAGCAGAAAAGAGGGATTTTGTTTTGCTTTATTATCTGTGTTCTTTTTTTTATTATGCGGCCAAAATTTTGGGTCCAATTAAACGAGATGCAATCTGGAGCAACGGATTAATTTTACATTTTTTTCTTGCAAAAACATTTAGGATGCAGAAATATCAGCCGCTTTTCAGGATATAAGTGCCAACCCCGCCAATATGGCCAAGTACCAATCCAATCCTAAAATTTCTGCCTTCCTCCAGAAAATGGTGTCCAAAATTGGAAGTGGATCTGGCGTGGGTTCAGGATTTCCTAAATTTTAGTTGATTTTTTTTAAATCTAAATTTTCAGAAAGTAAATAAATATGTTTTTATCAATGAATCATTCACCATTTGTTTTTATTTTTTTGTTTTATATTTCTTAAAATACTGTTAAGATTTTTCACTTATGTTTTTTCATAAATATATTTTTTTGCTATAATAAATTAAATCAAATCATTTTCTATAAATAGACCATGATATATTAAAATTTTATAGATGTTAGTTTAGACTTATATTTTGAATGTATTTTTTATTTCCATAACAGCTTGTCTTATTTTTCCATTTATTTTCATAATTTTTTGGAAAAAAGCCTACTATTATATAATCGAAAATTTAAATGTTTTAATATTATTGTGTTACGTAACGTTTTATTTGTACATTTTGTAATAAAAATTTTTAAGTAACTTTAAATATACATTACCAACCCAGCTCACTTACACATTCAATCATCAATTTTTTGTTAAGAAAACAATGTAATTGCTAGCTTCATTTGTGATGATAAAATGATTTATTTTTCTTTACTAATGTTCTTTTGAAGTTTACCATTTTTCCCATCTTTTATTTTTATTTAAAATTTAATTTTTTATAAATAAACCATTATATCGAAGCGATTTTCTTTATTTAAATTATGCAAATGTTCTTATGAATTTTGACATGAAACGCTCTACCAGGGGACCTTGGAATGTGGGAAAAATGAGTAATCTTTTCCATGAAATGTCGGATAAATTTTTTTAGACAGGAGATTTTACTTTAGAGTGGATTGAGTTCGTAGTATAGTATCGAATCAAACCGTAAACCCGAAATATTAGTTTTCTGAATGTTTTAGAATTATATTTATTTTATATGAACTGTCCTAATTTAAAATATTTTTAAAAAGGCTAGTGTGGTAAAAATGTAATTAGTGAGGAAAGATGCGTGGCCATCTATTAGGAGTAAGCAAGGAATGCATAAAATTACTTTTAAGGATTTAGTGTTCAATATACAACATTTTTTTATGCTTAATGATTTTTTGTGCTATCCTCAATTCCTCCCCAAAATTGACAGCCAAGCAACGATAAAAATAATTTCCATTTGCAGTACTTTTCTAGGTGAACTAAAAGATGCCCCTGAAATGATTTTGGCTTCAAATTTATCTTTTCCATCTTCGCCTTTTTATTGTAATTAATAAAATTTATAATAAAAGCTATTCTAAAATTCAAATATGGTTTTAAATATTATTAATTAAAATTTAATATATACTCTCATTATATGTTATTTAATATATCTTGAGGCTTTGTTTCTATATGAAGAAATATATGAGTTTTCATTTGGATAAAGAAAATAAAATTGCTTTCAATATATCAAAGTAACATAAGGTTACCTGAAAATGATTATTATTTGTAGGCTTTTGTGGATTCATTTGTGATTTAATAATTATATTTGATATTAAAATTGAAAAAAATCTAGAAATAAATTGCCATATTGCTGGTTAAATATTATATACAAATATAGTTTTCTTCATATTTTTTTTTATTAAATTAGAATATTGCAACCAGATTGTTCAACCTTTTGATATTTAGGTTCTGTTCAGGTTCCAAGAAATTGTTATATTTAATAAAAGATTAGGTCAAAGAATTAAATTTTAGTTTTAAAGATTTAGCATGCGATATTTTAACTTTGGAAAAGTTTTGAAACTTTTCAAAAAGAATCCTAATTTCGAACATAACCTAAGATAGACATAAATAAAACATTCTTTATAGCTTTTTTTAAATTTAAAAATATGATTTTACAGAAAATGTATTCTACTTAAGATAATTTTACAGCATCTAAAATAAATTATTAACAGGATAATTATATATAAAATAAATATTACAATCAAGTATCACTTTAAATTAGAATTTAAAGATTTTGAAGCTGATAAACCTTTTTGACACATTTGATAAGAATAGAATTAGTTTATTGAATATATGATGTTACTGATATATAATATATTTGGGCCCTGGTAATGTTAATTCAAAATAAGATGATAATGACGCAATAACATTCATGCTTACGCTAATCTATAAATAATAACATTCAAGTTAATAAACTATACTATAGGACAGAAATAGTGGCTAGATAAAAACAATTCAAATGTGTTAAACGGAATGGCTGATTTAAAAATTACACTAAAAAATTGGATTAATATTTTTTATTTTCAAATGAATAAAAAATACGAATGCTTTCGTCAAAAAAAAAACCACACATTCACGTTCAAAGTTAAAAGAAACGTTATCACTTTTTTCAAATATCGGACGCGTTCGTTTACAACATTACAATTTCTATTCAAAAATTAACTTATATCAGAGACCTGCAGATACCATTTGCATGGCTCGGCCCGGATTTTTTTTCAAAAATTTTTTACGGCCCAGCCCGGGTTTAAAAATTTTAGGCCCGGCCCGTATATTTAAAAAAAAAATTTTGGGCCAGGCCCGGATTTAAAAATAAATTTTTTAGGCCCGGCTCGGAATTTTTTGAAATTATATTCGACCTGGTATATTCAAAAAATTCATATATTTTTCAGCGAGTATTATTATTTAATAAAGAGGCATATTAGCTAATGTTAAACGGCTCGTTTTGAGCCTATTTAAACGACTAACTCAATATTTTCGCCAGAAAAATATTGACTAAGCCTCGAAATTTCGATACTATATGTCTGGACCTTTGCTCCTTCTATGAGCAAAATTTTCAGGCTTTCGTAATATTTTACTGGATAAAAAACTGAGTTAGCCGTTTTTAAAAATCGGTTCAAATCGAGCCGTTTAACAACACTATTTTATTTTTTATTCTAAACAGATATTTAGTATATTACAAATTGATACTATAAAAAATTTGTGTAAATAATATTTTGAAAATACACTATATTAATTGTATTTATATTAAAAATAAAACTGATATTTTAATTAATAAATATTATAATATATATTATATAATTATGTATTTAATCCTTTGCGTATTTATTCCATGGCAGGAAAACTAATTATATTATGTAATAGATAATATGAGTGTTAGCTAATGTTAACTTTCACCCATATATAATCATTATAACCATATCTAATTGACGAATATAATAATTCATGTTGTATAAATTTTACAACCCAGCTCGGGTATTTAAAAAAAATTTTTTTTCAGGCCTGGCCCGGGTATATTTTAAAAATTTACTGTCTGACTTATATATTAATTTTTTATTTTTATCTAAATTTTATTTTTAAACCGATATTAAATTTTTCCAAATTTCATATGATCATCTAAATCTTTATTACTGTTTAAAATACAATTCCAATCACCTGATTTAAAAACGTCCATATCTGTCAATTACAAATCAACAGATAAACATATATAAAGGAAGAACCTTTTTAAATTATCTGTTCATATTTATACACCTTTATAATTAGCTATCGTAATATTAATTATAGTTATTAATTACCATCATAATATTAATTACAAATAAAGTTTGATTGTTCATCTTTCATTAATATTTATTAGCAAGGTGGCGTAAATATGTTGAATAATTGATGTTTTATTAATTTATTTTTATATCAAAAATATGATTATTAATAATGATAAATTTGTATTATTAGTATTAATTTAATAATGTTTTTATTTTACAAAACAATGGAGGAAAATATATTTATTGACCAATCAATTAAATAACTGGGGGAAAAATATTTACTGACAAATACTAAAAAAGAATATATTTAATGAAAATTTTATAATGTACACTATTGTTGGGTCATAGCCGAATTTTTATGGCTATGGCTAAACCGGTATCCCGTCTTTACAGAGAATCTTTTATAGAGAATGCAAATATAAAGAAAACAATTGTAGAGAATGTTGTTTATAAAGAATATCGTTTATAGAGAATGATTTTATAGAGAATTTATTTTGTAGAGAAACTTTTAAAGAGAAAACAATTATGGAGAGTGTCGTTTATAGAGAATTTCATTTATAGAGAATGATTTTGTAGAGAATCTCGTTTATAGAGAATAATTTTGTAGAGAATCTCGTTTATAGAGAAACTTTTAAAGAGAAAACAATTATAGAGAATGTCGTTTATAGAGAATCTCATTTACAGAGGATGATTTTATAGAGAATCTCTTTTATAGAGAATGATTTTATAGAGAATATTTTAGCAGAGAATTGTTTTAGTGCGAATTATTTTATAAAGAAGGATTAATAATTTTATATTGAAGAATTTTACAGAGAATGATTTTATAGAAAATGAATTATTTTAGAAATAAATTTTCTCAAATATGACCATTTACCGTCTAATTCTATTTTTTTGGCACTTATTAAACCAGATTTAATCTAATATAATTTATTAAAAATATATTTAAGGATATTTATTTGGAATAATAAATGTAAGGACTTATTTTAACTATTTTTATTACTATATTTTTCATCTAAAAACATTATATATATATAAATTTACAAGTTAATTGAACAACTTAAATAGTTCATATACAAAATAAATAATATTCAAATTTAAATCAATCAACATATAAAATAAATAATATTCAAATTTAAATCAATCATGGTTGGCGTGGATCCCCTTGGCGTCGATGTCGTGTCCTAAGAACCTTAGACTTTTTTTGAAAAATAAGCTTTTTGCAAAATTAGGCACTAAACCATGAGATAGTATTCTTTCAAAAACCTTCTTTATGTTGTTGAAATGAACTTCGTCACTACTTCCCGTAATTAGTAGATCATCAATATAAAATATGACATCTTTCATGTCACTGAAAATTTGATCCATAATTTGTTGAAAAATCGCAGATGAAGTCTTTAACCCAAAAGGAAGTCTGGTTAACCGGTAGTACCCCCTGTGTGTAGATATAGTTAATATGTCTCTGCAGGTTTCATCGATGGGAATTTGTAGGAACGCATCCTTGAAATCTATCTTGGTGAACTTCTTCCCTTCCTTGAGCTTAGCGATAAGATCATTTATTCTTGGAAGTGGGTATCTGAAGTCCTCAAGGGCTGGGTTGACAGTGTCTTTGAAGTCGGCGCAAACCCTAACGCTCCCATTATCCTTGTAGACAGCGGTTATCGGACTTGCCCATCGGACATCTGTTACAGGCTCAATGATTCCATCTCCTATCCATCTCATAAGTTCTCTAGTAACAGCGTCTATCTTTGAATAAGGTAACCGTCTAGGTGGTATGATTTTTGGTTTGGCGTCGTTACGTAGATATATTTTGACATTCCCTTTATTGATCGGTTTTTTAGTCAGTTTAGATTCGCAATCTTTTATTAATTTCTTTATTTCATCTTCATAGTTGGTATCAATGTTTGCTATAAATTTGTTCAAAATATTACTAAAGGCATTAATCCACATACGTCCCAATAACGCATTTTTATTACATTTAACGATAACGGCTTGCAAGTGTTTGGTGATACCTTCGTAGGTTACTTTAACTTGAGTGACGCCAATAATCTTGATTAAGTTTCCATCATAAGCTGAAAGTTGTAGAGTGGACTTTTTAAGATCTTTAATACCAATTTGTTTAGCCATTTCATGAGGTATTATTGTAAA